AAAAAGAAACACACAAATGGTTCCTCCTTGGACCTACAGATAGCCACAGGCTAACAAGAGGAGGAACAGGGCCGCTGTAGGCTCAGCGGTGTAGTAAGCGCCTGCCTCCGCAAGCTCAAGGACCTGGGTTTGACCCCCACCCTACTTGCCCCACTGGTCCTGCTCCAGGAACGCCAAGCTGGCCACGCCTGCAATCCCAGAGCTGCGGAGGCCGAAACGCTACAAGTCCCAGCTGCGGAGTGAGACCCTGGGCCAAATACATAATTTTTTTTTTTTTTTTTTTTAAAGAGGAACAACGCTTGACTTCCAGTTTGTATCTATCTCTGTCACTGCCTTACCAGTGTAGCCAGGTCCTTCCTTAGCCAGGCATACAGGTATCAACTCCTCACAAGAATGTACCATAAATGCTAACAAAAAAAATAATTGAATATTTAAATAAAAGCTGACAACAAAAAGTTGATTGGCTCTAAATTTATGTAACCTACCTCATGTCCCTTCAAGAAGACTACACCAAGCTAAAGATTTTTCAGGGACAATCAGTCAACCACAAGCAGGAGCTAGAGTCTCCAGTCACTGCCCTCAACCTGTGGGCACCCTGATTCCAGCAGAACTGCAAAACAGAGACGGGCTCAACTGCAACAATGAGCTCAAGCAGAGTACGTGAAGGGACTTCTTGGAGCCACCGTGCAAAGCCAGAACTGAAGGCTGTGCCCAGCCAGCCCGGACTCACCTCAACCGCACTCACTGCCACTGCTGGGCCATCTGCTCCTGCCCATCAGGCTGTGTGCGCATCAGCTGGCCAAGCGTGGGTCCCCTCCCATCTCTTTTACTTCCTAACTCTGCCCGGCGCCTCAGCCTGCCCCTCTCACGAATGCATCCTTAAATGCTTTTGAGCACAACTAAGAACATGCCTGATCAAGCTGAAGTTCCCATCTTTTCTTTAAGGGGGACACCCTGGACACTGTGTAATGACAAAACTTGTACCCGATGACTCATGACTCTGTTCTTAAACTCAGAAAAACTATTTTTCTGCATGTAAGAAAACACAATTGTTATTTTCTAACATAATAGCTTTACAGTACCGAAGATGTATGCATATAGATGAATATACACACAGCCTGAATCCATCCCCTCCCTCTTCCTTATTTGTTAATGTATTTAGTACAGGGTCTATAGGGTCTCACTATCGGACAGATCGCACTCTAGTGATCCTCCTGTTTGCAGCCTCCCAAGAGCTGGGATTACAGGTGCACGCTACCGCACCCAGCCTCAACTGCCTGAGCTATCAG